TGAATTATTTAGATAATTAAGACGAATTCAAATTCTACGCAGTATACGCGCTTTATTTAAGTTAGCACTCTTCTTAAAATAGTAAAAAAAAAAAATTTTTTTTTTAACTATTGACCAATCAGACCAATTTGACCGTGGTTAATCTGGTCAAGTTACACTTATTTATAAGTTTTAGCTACTGATAATCAATCAGACCAATTTGAATCTAGTCGATCTCATCAATTATAAGTTTTAGCTACGTATAACACCCCTATGTTACTGTTGAAATTTTTTTTTATAGTTGAATAAACACAATGCAGTAACGGTAATGGTACCATTACCATTACTGTACTTATGTAAAAAAAAAAAATTCAACAGTAATATATGACTTTCAACAATTAAATCAAATTTAAATGATAAAAATGATGCTTATGATATGTAACTTGACCGATTTGACCAGTTTAACCTATTCGATCGCGGCCAAATTGGTCTGATTGATGATCAGTAGCTATATCTAATGCATTTACGATGATGATTAGATAAAAATTTTTTTTTAAATAAAGCGCATATATTGTGAGAATTCGAGCTCTGCTATTACATATTGCATTATTTTAGCTGTAAAAAAAATTTCAAACAGTAACATATGATTAATAATTATGAAACATGATAAAACCTCTAGTTAAATTGGTTTAAAAAAATTTTTTTTTTTTTTTTACTACCTTAGAAAGAGTACTAACTTAAATAAATTATGTATTGTTTAGTTCAGAATTTAAACTATGCCATTGTCATTGCATTGCATTTATTCAACTATAAAAAAAAAAAATTTCAACAGTAACATATGAGTGTTTTACATTAAAAGACATACAACAAATTAAATCGAATTTAAATGATGAGAATTGACCAGTTCGACTGATTTGACCGCGGTCAAATTGGTCTGATTGATTATCAGCTAAAACTTATAAATGATGAGAATTGACCAGTTCGGCTGATTTGACCGTGGTCAAATTGGTCTGATTGATTATCAGTAGCTAAAAGTGTAACTTGACCACGGTCAAATTGGTCAAATTGATCAAATTGGCCTGATTGGTCAATAGTTAAAAAAATTATCTTTTTTTTACTCTTTTAAGAGTGCTAACTTAAATAAAGCGCGTATACTGTGTAGAATTTGAATCCGTCTTATCCATATCTAATTATCTGAATAATTCAAAATCGCACAGATATTCGAAGGTACGTACGTACGTATTCGGATAATTATAGTAAATGGATGATAGTAAATGAATATCTGAATAAATTCAGATCCGTATATCT